ACAGCAACGCAACTGAAATGTTCCCAAGTCCAGAGACGTAGCAAGGAGATCTGTAAAGTAATCCATGTGACATCAGGAGTTCAACCGTAATTTTACGAAGCTCAAGGCTGGCTGTGCGAGAGAAGAAGAGAGAGAGAAAAAAAAAAAAAAAAAAAAAGAGTCAGCCGATGTGATGCCTACAACAAAAAAAAAAATGCGAGAGATACATTAAAAACACATTTTGTGTATGGTAAACCCAGTGTTACATACTATTGTAGTATTTATTAATATGAAAATAAATAGTTTTTTTTTTTTGTTTTAGTTTTCATTTTAATTTTAGTTTACATTTACGCTTTTATTCAAAGCGACTTACTAAAGAGAAACAAAAGTAATTTGTCAAAGAGCCAACAATATTTATAATATTCAATGCCAATTTATAGTAATTTTAAGTGTTTTTTATTAGTTTATTTAATTTTCTTAATATTATTCTTATAGTTTTTCTTATTATTTTAGTTTTAGTTTCAGCAATTTTAGCACTTCAAATGATTTCAATTAGTTCTATTTCTATTTTTTCCATTTGATATTTATCTTATTCTACAGTAGCTTTATTTCAATTACTGAAAGCATTTTTAATAGTAATAGTAGTTTTAATCATAATTTTTAATAGTTTATTTTTAAATAAAAATAACACTGGGTAAAACTGCAGCTTAAAAAAACATGAAAAAAGGGAATGAAGGCAATGTCACAATAAGAAGTTTTTATGCATGTTTGAGAAAAGAGGAGACCTTTTTATGGAAAACAACTACACAACTACATATAAATGCAGCGTCAATGGGGGTAAGGGAAGGATAGAGTGAGTGAGAAACCTCCCAGCATTTCTTTCATGTAAAATAAAGAGGTTTTTAGCCAGGAGCTGGGAGGTCTGGGTAAGAAGGCTTTAACTAGCAACTCAGCAGCAGGAGGGCCTATAGTTTCAACTATGTGTGACAGCACCCTGCCACAAAGACACATGCCAACCACTTTACTAGCTGTCTTTTCATTTATGAGAAAATCTGATGGCCCCTTCTCACACTCCAAGATGCTGTTACATAAACTGGGTGGCACTCTTGTTTTTAGACCTTTTTTCATCAGCATCCTGGCGGGCAGGTTTCTATAGTGAGTGCTCCTGAGGATACGAGTGCTCACCGTGCTGGGAAATGAGTGGTTAAACTTCTGAGAGGATTAAAACAGATCAAACGCAACCTCCTTCCACCTCATACACACACACACACACACTTCAGTGCTGACTGCAAACACAGGGTTGTGTTTAGACATTCCTGAGAAAGGAGCAAAACTCCCCCTCTTCTCTGTCTTTCTGTGCACACACAAAACCTTCACAATCTACTTTAGCTGCTATGTGACATGTTGACATCGCTTGGCTCCCCAAGCCTCTTGGCTCTGTCTCTTTTTCAGGTTAGGGTGACACGGAGGCCACATGCCACCGTATGGGGCTTTGGCACCCAGATACTAAAGTCTCTCACAAGAGCAGGGGTCAGAGGTTAGCTGCTCACAGTAACAATACACACAACTAAGAAGTGACAGAACAGATAGAGGAGAGAGACATATACAAAGAAGACATAAAAATACGCAAATGCGACATAATTGATGAGTGAGAACCAAATGGTGACAATGAATTTTAAGGTACTTGTTAACAGAGTCGCAAAAACGTGTAAATATTTTTGGGTTTCTTTGAAGCAATATTCAGGGTTAAATACAACTTAAACTCTTTTACAATGGAAAACCACTTCAAAAGGATTATTAAGATGACTTTTAATCTCAAATATTAAAGTAACGAAAGTGACAGATCTTTTTTGTCTGTATTGTGACATCATGCATCAGAGTGAACAGATTATCAACAAAAAATGTAGTGCGGGGACTTAATTCTAACCATCGGTTATTGATTGGATGGAGGCAGGTCTGAACACGAGCTTGCAGTCGATTGTGCAGTGGGCGGAATTTATGCCGACTAGATGATTGGAGAAGTCCAGCATATTTCACCAGAAGATCGAGTTGTGACATTTTCATTATAAATTACAAGCTCAAAAAAACAAAAAAAAAAACAAAACAATAAACATGGATGAATCACACTTAAAATATATACAGTGCCTACAAAAAGTATTCATACCCCTTAATTTTTTCACATTTTTTTTATGTCGCAGCCTAATGTTAAACTGTTATAACTTTTTTTTTCCCACATCAATCTACACTCCATACACCATAATGACAAAGCAAAAAACAGATTTGTGACAACTTTGCAAATTTATTAACAAAAACTGGAATAAGTACATTGCATATCCTATAAAGCTTCATGAATGTCAAAGCTGGAGGAATCAGGCTCAAGAAAGAAGAGTTCAGCGATGGCATGCACACACACACACAGAGGAGGGGACTCGCAGCCCGTGACAGATGCGACGGCAGTCTCCTCTCTCTGGTTTAATATGTAGAGTGTGCTGAAAGACAAACGTGTTGCATATGTAGAGTTATGCGAAGCACATACACACCAGCTGCTCTACAGCAAAAGAGACCATGAAATACTCTCTGCCCACTAAAGGCCTGCCGGAAACACTGGGCCTTTGCGAGAGCTTCATTTGCTACTTCCTCTCTGGTTCAACTTCAATTCAGATGCAGGAAAAAGACTGACTCATAATGATGCAGATTCTGTTTTAACTGCTGCATAAGCTTTGATACTTCAAAAGGCACGAGAAGTGTGTCTATACAGAACAGATGTGGAACAAATTGTTGCACTGCAAAGTGCAGGGTCTGTTTCTGATATAGAAAGGGTTGGCTGGCTTTATTGGGGGTAATGATTGTTTGTAAAGAGGAGCTGAGAGGACTGTGGGACTTCTGCTGATTTTTTGCCTTGGCATGGATGGCAGCATGCTCACGTGAGGACTATAAAGTTGCCACTGTCTGCCCATTAGTCCAATTTTATGAGTAAAACAGGAAATATTTCTGCTTTGCAGGAGAGCGTGTCTAACCCGGGCTTTCTGCAAAACAAGTGTGAGACCGTTCACAGCTGAACAAGAGACTAGTTTCCAAATGTTACATACAGAATTTGGAATGATTCCCAAAAATGTTGAAGCTAAGTATTTGAAGAATAATTATTTAATTATTTAACATAAAAATCAATTTGTAGCACATGCTTGAAAGTGAAAATATGGAATTTGTTGCCAAATAGATATGAAAGATTGAAACTATTTGTGACCCTGGAGCACAAAAGCAACCAATAGCAATAGCCAACAATACATTGTATGGGTCAAAATGGGTCAAAAATCTATTTTTCTTTTATGCCAAAAATCATTTGGATATTAAGTAAAGATCATGTTCTATGAAGATATTTTGTACCGTAAATATATACACCTGCCTGGAAGTTTCTAGCATGCCTAGTAAGACCTTGAAGACCTAGTAGATTCAGGCGTGTTTAATTAGGATTTGAGTCTGGAGACCCCTGGCCTATTGCGCAAATTGTTGAAAGGATAGTCATTGGTTGGTACTTTCTGTGTGTGCACTTATAATATGTGTAAACAAAAAAAAAAATCACAGCAGTGTGTTCTGTTTTGTTCTGTCTGAGTGGGTGTAATTTGATTGATCTGTGCCTAGGAGGGGGCTGGGAAAAAGGGTTCTGCAGAGCGCGTCAATCATGCTGCATTTGAACAATCAATGTGGCATTAATCAGACCAGATCACAACACTGATCAGACTAAGTGGCTACTTAAACGCCTCGCACACAGGCGCACAGTGCTGGAAAAGCTTATTAGGTCACGCAAACACTCACATGCCCTAAGGGAATACACATTAGCCAACCCCAAAAAGAAAAATGACAATCAACTCCGAATGAAAATCTAAATTAAAACTAAACGGTTTGCTGGCTCTACTTATACTTAATTGAAAAAGGGAATTGTTGAGCTTAAAATTATGGAAAAATCTAGTGTTCCTAGAATTCAAAAGTGTCGTGTTTGTTTTGGATGCACTTACCATTAAAAAAAAATTTTTTTTCTACAAATTTAAATAAAATAAATAAATACATGTAAAAAAAAACGAGATGTATATTTATTTTCTACAAATATAAAAAATGAAATAATAAAATTATAATAAATAAATTAAAATACACAAAAGTTAATATGTTAATTTAAGTTTTCATTATTAACATTTTATGAAACTATTGTCTATTTTGTGACCAAAAAGTAAAATAGAATCAACTCTCAGCCCTTTAAAGTGTTTTGTACATCCAGCACATGCTATCCAGGTGGCTAATGAGTGCAAGGTGCAAACTCACCAGAGATTAGTCAACATGTCATTAACAAGCTGTGAACAGAAAACTGACAGCCCTTTTACTTTGTGCCATTTCCTCCTCTTATTCTTTACAGAACTCTATAAGGGCCACATGGGAGATCAACCATCATACACATTTGTTTATCATCTTTCATTTCATGTCAGTGAACTGGTGTGGAGGTCAGTGTTTTGTATCCACAGGTGCTAACCCCAGGTTCTGCCACAACAGAGTGAGAAACAGGGACTGCGAGACAGTCAGACCACCACAAAAGACAGACACGCCTAATTAATAGTGCATGGGGCCTGCTTTGTCCCTCAGAGTGCCGTCTCCTGTTGTCCGTTGGGGGTTTGGGGGGCAATGAGGTGTAGAGAGGGGTCTAGTGTTTTTGGGGGGAACTGTCCAGAAATGGCGGTCTACATGGGCGGCACATGCCTCAGGCCCAGTCAAGCAGCATGATGAGAAAGCACATCCATTAGTCTGTAAATGTTAGTGAAGACATGGATGATGAGGAGAAAAAAGACAAGGAGAGGATCTTCAGTAAGTAGGGTCATAAATGCACACACTCAGTGGGATTGGCATATGTTAGAAATGATTGGATAATGAGTTTTCCATTCAGGGGTCCGACTATCTCAAAGAAGTCACCTGCATTCTCTTAACCA